AAGAAGAAGAAGAAGAAGAAGAAGAAGAAGAAGAAGAAGAAGGAGAAGGAGAAGGAGAAGGAGGAGAAGAAGAAGAAGAAGAAGAAGAACGGGTGGTAGTTTAGAATAAGAAGATGAGTGAAAAATAAAATAGGGAAAAAAAGAAGGAAAATGTAAGCCGTTTAATGAGGCGACTTTATGATAAGTTACAGAATAACGTTTGTCCCCTCGGTTTGTTTCCATGGCAACAGTCTCCCAACACCCATTTAACCACCCGGATTAATGGAGATATCCATCCATGTACCGGTAATTCAATGAAATATTCATTCGTCCCGCAAGGTTGTTTGCCTTTTGTAGGCCTTCGCTTTTGTGTTTCCTTTTCATAATAATACAATGTACTATCAAAATTATTATTACTAAGCTACTATTACTACTAATGTTATTGTTATGTTGAACATTCTTACTAATGCTTCTGCTGCTCCTCCTCCCCCAACATTCATCATGCAACATATTTAGTGTCACGATAAGCACTGGAATATATGTTTTACAAAATAAAATACAATAAAATACAATAAAATACAATAAAATACAATGTACTTGCCGTCAACAAACGCGTCCGTTTTAATTAGAAACAGGTACAATGAGATGCATGTACTTGGAATGGTAGGTTTTTGTCATCACCTCGATTAAACAAAGCGCGAAGAAGCCAGTGTGCGTTTTCAGTAAAGAGCTAGATCTATATCAAATCACTGCTATGAATAATGAACAATTTGGAACGAAAGCATGAGAAACTAATGAAAGGGCGGTAAATACGAACCCCCGCTTCTCAAGCACAGAGGCGAAACGGGGTGTGGTACCTCGGTACAAACGGAGATCGACCAACAATTTGCGGGCCAGCTCTGGTCATGGAGGGGTCACGGATTCTCCTGTGTGTTGTAAAAAGCCGTGCGCGTTCGCTATAATCAGTGATTGCTATCACTGTCACTAGCAATTTTATTGCACTACGTTTTTCAAGCACTTCGAGGCCACGTTCTTTACTCTCAGTCAGTAGTCAGTGCGATGGAATCATAACCTCTTGGGAAAGGTCCGTGAGTGAGGGCAGGACTTTGGTTTTTACGCTTTCGGGTAAAAAGCTGTCAGTGTGAAACTATGGCGCCCGTTCTCTCAACTGTAGCGGAGTGAATCTATTACGCTGAAGACAAAGCTTGGAGACTACGACTATGTCAGAAGCTAGTTCATCGTTCTGACTGATTGGTCTTCCTTCTGTTTGCAATTATAGAGAATTGAGCTCTACATTGCTGGTGAGGGAATTGTGTTAAAGCTTTCAGTGAAGAGTCGTCTGGTGACACTGTCGTCTGGGTGAAACCGTTAAACTGTTGGTATGTGTGTGTGTGTGTTTGTATGTGTGTTTGTGTGTGTGTGTATA